GAATTTTTATTGACCTAAGAAAAGCTTTTGACACAGTAGACCACGGCATCCTACTCCACAAACTTGACCATTACAGTATAAGAGGCCATGCGCTTGCTTATTTCAAATCTTACCTTACTAATAGGTACCAGTATTTTTTATTTTTTTATTATCACACTGGCCGATTCCCACCAAGGCAGGGTGGCCCGAAAAAGAAAAACTTTCACCATCATTCACTCCATCACTGTCTTGCCAGAAGGGTGCTTTACACTACAGTTTTTGAACTGCAACATTAACACCCCTCCTTCAGAGTGCAGGCACTGTACTTCCCATCTCCAGGACTCAAGTCCGGCCTGCCGGTTTCCCTGAACCCCTTCATAAATGTTACTTTGCTCACACTCCAACAGCACGTCAAGTATTAAAAACCATTTGTCTCCATTCACTCCTATCAAACACGCTCACGCATGCCTGCTGGAAGTCCAAGCCCCTCGCAAACAAAACCTCCTTTACCCCCCTCCCTCCAACCTTTCCTAGGCCGACCCCTACCCCGCCTTCCTTCCACTACAGACTGATACACTTTTGAAGTGACTCTGTTTCGCTCCATTCTCTCTACATGTCCGAACCACCTCAACAACCCTTCCTCAGCCCTCTGGACAACAGTTTTGGTAATCCCGCACCTCCTCCTAACTTCCAAACTACGAATTCTCTGCATTATATTCACACCACACATTGCCCTCAGACATGACATCTCCACTGCCTCCAGCCTTCTCCTCGCTGCAACATTCATCACCCATGCTTCACACCCATATAAGAGCGTTGGTAAAACTATACTCTCATACATTCCCCTCTTTGCCTCCAAGGACAAAGTTCTTTGTCTCCACAGACTCCTAAGTGCAACCACTCACCCTTTTCCCCTCATCAATTCTATGATTCACCTCATCTTTCATAGACCCATCCGCTGACAACGTCCACTCCCAAATATCTGAATACATTCACCTCCTCCATACTTTCTCCCTCCAATCTGATATCCAATCTTTCATCACCTAATCTTTTTGTTATCCTCATAACCTTACTCTTTCCTGTATTCACTTTTAATTTCTTCTTTTGCACACCCTACCAAATTCATCCACCATCTCTGCAACTTCTCTTCAGAATTCTCCCAAGAGCACAGTGTCATCAGCAAAGAGCAACTGTGACAACTCCCACTTTATGTGTGATTCTTTATCTTTTAACTCCACACCTCTTGCCAAGACCCTCGCATTTACTTCTCTTACAACCCCATCTACAAATATATTAAACAACCTCGGTGACATCACACATCCTTGTCTAAGGCCTACTTTTACTGGGAAATAATTTCCCTCTTTCCTACATATTCTAACTTAAGCCTCACTATCCTCGTAAAAACTCTTCACTGCTTTCAGTAGCCTACCTCCTACACCATACACCATACCAGTATGTCACCATTAAAGACACAGCATCAACAACACAGCCACTTGATACTGGAGTTCCACAGGGAAGTGTCCTTGGTCCCCTGCTCTTCCTCATATACATCATTGATCTTCCAAACGTATCCCAACACCTAAAACCCATTCTCTTTGCTGATGACATGACTTATGTCATCTCTCACCCTAATCTTGCCACCCTCAACACCATTGTTAACGAGGAGCTGATCAAAATATCGACTTGGATGACAGCCAATAAACTTACGCTTAACACTGACAAGACCTACTATATTATGTTTGGTAGCAGAGCAGGAGATGCACAAATTAACATTAACATCGACAACACTCTGATTACCAGACATAATGAGGGCAAATTCCTAGGCCTATACCTTGACAACAACCTGAATTTCAGCACCCATATCCAACACATAACCAAGAAAGTATCCAAAACGGTTGGGATCCTCTCCAAGAGACGATACTACATGCCGCAAAATGCCCTTCTCACACTATACCACTCACTTATTTATCCATACCTCACCTATGCTATTTGTGCTTGGGGATCAACTGCAGCAACACACCTAAAGCCAATAATAACCCAAAAAAAAGCCGCAGTAAGAATAATCACTAAATCCCATCCCTGGCAACACACCCCCCCCACTCTTCATAGATCTAAACTTACTCCCTGTTCAGTACATCCACACTTATTACTGTGCAATCTACCTCTACAGGACCTTAAACTCCAATATCAACCTTGACCTAAAACGCTTTCTTGATAGTTGTGACAGAACCCACAGGCATAACACCAGACACAAACATCTCTACGACATTCCCCGTGTCCGACTAAACCTTTACAAAAATTCAATGTATGTCAAAGGCCCTAAAATCTGGAACACCCTACCTGAGAACTCTAGAACTGCAGACACATTCATCACCTTCAAAACTACCATTAGAAAACATCTTATCTCCCTGATACACCCCGTCAACTAACTACACGAATACCACCTGGTGGTTCACACTTACACTCACTCACCCATTTGACCATGAACAGAAATATTAATCTCAATCTTAAAATAATGAATCCTGTGATACTCCAATACTGAAACTATGTACTGTGCCAAAACAAAAGAATTCACATTGCTAAACTCAAACTAGTATTTAGTCACTTAGCCATAATACCAACTTACCTCATAATTCGTAATATTTTAAAATTAAGAATTAAACTAAGTCTGCCCAAAATGCCTAACCATGCTAGGTGCTCTAGTGGTACACTCTGTAATCATTATTTTACTACATGTAAACCACACAATAACCAAATTCTGTAAACTCAGCATTGTAATCCTTATAGAGAATAAACTTTGAATTGAATTGAAAAAGGAATATAATAGTTGAGTGTACATGCCAAAAACCCCTTGTATGCAGAGCATTTTGGGCAAACTTATAATTAACTCAAGATTAATAAGGCTTTAACAGATTAAATGGTCATTAGATGAGTTACAATGAGTACAAGAGAAATGAGTATTAATAGGTAATGCTATATGGCTTTAATAAGTCTATTAGAGAAGTTTAGTAGTGAATAGTTACAGTTTTGAATTATTTTATAAAAATTATAGTTTTACAACAGAACAATTTACAATATGAAGTATGACAATTTAGTATTCAAAACAACATATTATGCGAATGAAACACTTGTGCAACATTTGGGTATCTTCATTCTGGAAACTTTTTGCCACACACTGGCTTCTTCAGTCCAGTGCAGAGAAAGGTGGAAAATGAGAAGTTTGATGTAATCAGTCCCTCAGCCTAGAATCGATGTGTTCGGTCCATCAATCTTGATCTTTTGTCAATGGACTGAACATGTTGACTCCAGGGACTGATTACCTCAAACTCATCCTCATCTTCTGCCTTTCTCTGCATTGGACTGAGGAAGTCACTGCATGGTGAAATGTTTGCAGAATGAAGATACCCCAATGTTACACAAGTGTCTCATTTATCTTTTATTCACATATTACACAAAGTATGGTTGTTTAATATATTTATAGATGGGGTTGTAAGAGAAGTAAATGCGAGGGTCTTGGCAAGAGGCGTGGAGTTAAAAGATAAAGAATCACACATAAAGTGGGAGTTGTCACAGTTGCTCTTTGCTGATGACACTGTGCTCTTGGGAGATTCTGAAGAGAAGTTGCAGAGATTGGTGGATGAATTTGGTAGGGTGTGCAAAAGAAGAAAATTAAAAGTGAATACAGGAAAGAGTAAGGTTATGAGGATAACAAAAAGATTAGGTGATGAAAGATTGAATATCAGATTGGAGGGAGAGAGTATGGAGGAGTGAACGTATTCAGATATTTGGGAGTGGACGTGTCAGCAGATGGGTCTATGAAAGATGAGGTGAATCATAGAATTGATGGGGGAAAAAGAGTGAGGGGTGCATTTAGGAGTCTTTGGAGACAAAAAATTTTGTCCTTGGGGGGAAAAGAGGGAATGTAGAGAGTATAGTTTTACCAAGTCTTATATGGGTGTAAGCGTGGTGATGAATGTTGCGCGGGAGAAGGCTGGAGGCGTGGGATGCATGTTGGGGGAATGTGGGGTGTGAATATAATGCAGAAAATTTCGTATTTGGAAGTTGGAGGGGGTCGGGATTACCAAAACTTTGCCCAAAGGGGGCTGAAAAGGGGTTGTTGAGGGGGTTGGGACAGTAGAGAGAAGGGAGCGAAAAGAATGACTTCAAGAGTGTATCAGTCTGTAGTGAAGGAAGGGGGGGTTTGGGTCAGCCTAGGAAAGGGTTGGAGGGGAGGGGTAAAAGGGGTTTTGTTGCGAGGGGCTTGGACTTCCAGCGGCATGGGGGGCGTTTTTAAAGGGAGTGAAGGGGAACAAAGGGTTTTTTAATATTTGGTGCTGTTGGGTGTGAGCAAAGTAACATTTATAAAAGGGGTTCGGGAAAACCCGGGCGGCCGGCTTGAGTCCTGGGATGGAATCAGTGCTTGCATCTGAAGGAGGGTGTAAAAGTTGCAGTTTAAAAAATTGTTAAAAACCCCCTTTGGAAGACGGTGGAGGAAAGAGGTAAAAGTTTTTCTTTTTCGGGGGCCACCCTGCCTTGGTGGGGAAACGGGCCCGGTGATAATAAAAAAATAAAAAAAAGGAAGGCATTCAAAGGGGGTTCTGTGGCCTGGTGGGCACACTCTCGCTTCACACACTGAGGGCCAGTTCAATCCCTGGGCGGGTGGAAACTTTGGACGTGTTTCCTTAATCACCCACTTTTTTTGTTACCCATTAGTAAAATAATACCTGGGTGTTAGCCGCGGGGGGTGGGCACTTCTGGGGGGAAAATTCCTAATTTGCCGAAATGCTCTGCATAACAAGGGGCTTTCTTTAATATATGTCATTTACCTGGAGTTTACCTGGAGAGAGTTCTGGGGGTCAACGCCCCCCTGCCCGGGCTGTGACCCAGCTAGGGTGTATACCTTTTAAAATGTACTTTAGGGAAAAAAGATTATTTTATTTTATTACATTTTAGATTATTAAACTTAAAACCCAAAGAAAACCCTTTTAGAATGGCATCGTAATGTGTTCAATATATTTCAGACGTCATTACTGGGAAGCATAATGCTGTACTTCTTGTTCGCTGCATGGGCTGCACTCACCATCAGTATCCTGGTGCTCATGGAGGGACTGTCAGCCTTCCTTCACACACTCCGTCTTCACTGGTAAGATTGCTTGTCTCAGTTTAGTAATTTATAAAACAATCATGTGAAAAGTAAACAAACCATACCATGGGTGGGGCTTGATCCCACGGTCAGAGAGTCTCAAAACTCCAGACCGTCGCATTAGCCACTGGACCAGCTAGCCACAATAAGATTCGTCCAACTAGGTATATTTCTACACCATAGGAAGGTTAGCATAGGCACCACTGTGACCACAAATGCAAGTTTTTACAGATGAATCTCCAGCTAGCATGGCCGTGACGAACTCTAGCTCTCAAAGCCGTTAACATGACTCACGAAATCGTATGGTATGGTTTGTTTGCAATCGTGTCATTACAATTTTGTGAGTCATATGAAAAGTAATATAAAATACCTAATCTAAGAGATTAGGTATTTTGACTCAAAATAATGGATTTTTAGTTTTAGTGGTAAGCAGGAAATAATCTGAAAAATCACAAATTATCATCAGTTTCGATTAAAAGTGTAATGATGATGATGATGATAATAATAATAATAATAATAATAACTAAAAATAATAATAATGTGGATGAGGGGGAGAAGCCTATTTTATTTTTTCCATATATTCTTGACTGTCCATAAAACTGTTTTACATAAAACAAGGATTTTCATTAATGTATTCGCTCACATTATGAGGGTTGACTGTACAAAGTACTGTATGTGTTTTAATAATTGAACCATTTTTATAAGACGGAGCCTTTTACCACATTACTTGTTTGGCCATTTTTAATGTAATTTATTGTTTACATGAAGTAGTTTTTAAATCTTATGAGGAAACTCACCAAAAACTCGCTGAAAATCATATACAGTCAGCTCTTATAAAGTTCCAATATACAGTCAGCTCTCTTATAAAGCTCCAATATACAGTCAGCTCTTATGAAGCTCCATTATACAGTCAGCTCTCTTATAAAGCTCCAGTATACAGTCAGCTCTCTTATAAAGCTCCAATATACAGTCAGCTCTCTTATAAAGCTCCATTATACAGTCAGCTCTCTTATAAAGCTCCAGTATACAGTCAGCTCTCTTATAAAGCTCCAATATACAGTCAGCTCTCTTCTAAAGCTCCAGTATACAGTCAGCTCTCTTATAAAGCTCCAATATACAGTCAGCTCTCTTATAAAGCTCCAATATACAGTCAGCTCTCTTATAAAGCTCCAATATACAGTCAGCTCTCTTATAAAGCTCCAATATACAGTCCAGCTCTCTTATAAAGCTTCAATATACAGTCAGCTCTCTTATAAAGCTTCAATATACAGTCAGCTCTCTTATAAAGCTTCAATATACAGTCAGCTCTCTTATAAAGCTTCAATATACAGTCAGCTCTCTTATAAAGCTTCAGTATACAGTCAGCTCTCTTATAAAGCTCCAGTATACAGTCAGCTCTCTTATAAAGCTCCAATATACAGTCAGCTCTCTTATAAAGCTTCAATATACAGTCAGCCCTCTTATAAAGCTTCAATATACAGTAACATCCTGGTTGATCAGGCCCTGATCCACCATGAGGCTTGGTCACAGAACGGGCCATGGGGGCATTGAGCCCTGAAACCCCTCCAGGTATACAGTTAATCCCTGCTTTACATCACTTCGCTAATGCAGCGGTTTTCAGTTATACGCATTCTTCATTCATTCAGACTTCCTGCAATAAATAAATTCATCACTCAGCAGTAGTATAAGCTAAGGCTGAAAATATTTTTAGGCAAGTAATTTGTATACTTTATATGCATTTTTTAGGCCTAGTTCTACTGCTCACTTAATATACATGTATGATAGTGTAAATATGTTATCAGGTTTTTGTATGCATTAAAAAGAAAAGTTTCACTTTACAGCAGTAGCCCAGAACCTAACCTGCTGTATAAGCGGGGCCCACCTGTACACTGTGAATTTTTGTAAATGCGATTGAAAAAAAAAAAAAAAAAAGGTTCTGTAAAGGCCTTTTTACATGCTTTTCAGTTTTGAATATCCTTTTTCAACTGCATTTGCAAAAAAATTAAACAATGTAGAAGAGCTCTGTAAGAGAACTCACACTATATTCAGACTATAAAAGAAAAAATAAAGAGATTTGGTTACAGTAATGATTTTTCCTGATCATGTTGCGAGAATTTAAATGGTTATTCTTTACACGTTGCATTTGTGATTGTGAATTATTGTTTATATGGTGTTGATATTATGGTAATCTATTATGTATAGCTGGAATGTAACTAAATAAAGAAGATGTTTTGAATACAGTATTGAAACCTTATAGTGACAGTTTGCTTTGAAAATGTTTTCAGTCTTGCAAAGCAAGCAGAATGTTGTCATTTATAAAGTATCTATACTGTATTATCTTACGTTAATCCCATGATAATTACCATGCTGTACTAGGAAGTGCCTTACTTTACCTTGTAAAGTTGTACCAAAGTGTGACTTTGTTTCAGGGTGGAGTTCCAGTCGAAGTTCTACAAAGGCGAAGGTTATGCCTTTACCCCATTGACTTTCAAGCACATTATCAGTGGGGACGAAGAGGAAGGTTAAATGGGCACTCACTGATCAAATATACATTTTTTTTTTTAACACACCAGCTGTCTACCAGAAAGGCAGGGTGACCCAAAAATGAAGAAACAGTTTTGCCATCATTCACTCCATAACTGTCTTGCCAGAGGCATGGAAATGCACATGTTGAAAATAATTATTATCCCCTTCAGGTGAAAATAGTAATTTTAATAATTGGAAAAAGTTTTATGAAAAAATTTATTTTTCAACTTGTATCATTTTTAGATGTACATGTATATAACAAAAATTACTGTGGTAGCTTATTTTAATGTTATTAAAATTTATTTTAAGATTGATAGCAATTACCATTCATCTTAATTTAAAATTGTAGTCTGTGTATTTAATATATTCATTATTTTGTACTCGCCTATTTATGGTTGCAGAGATCAAGTCACAGTTTGTGTGAATATATGTACATGTATATAGAGGAGGGCCCCATTTTTATGGCTATTAGGTTCCTGACTACAAGCGATAAATAAAAATAACCAGCATGTGGAAAAGATCATTTTTGAATATCATCTGCATCTAGAACTCCTGATAACACGTTTATATTATCATGTATTCAGTGCTCAATACAGCTAGGCATAAAAAAAATAAAAAAGTAAAATAAATACACAGTACATACAATACTGACCTAAACCCTTTGACTGTTTTCGACGTATAAATACGTCTTACGAGCCAATGTTTCTGACGTATATATACTCAATAATTCTAGCGGCTTCAAATCAAGCAGGAGAAAGCTGGTAGGCCCACATGTGAGAGAATGGGTCTGTGTGGTCAGTGTGCACCACATAAAAAAAATCCTGCAGCACACATTGCGTAATGAGAAAAAAAACTGATCGTTTTTTTGGAATAAAACGCTGACTTTGAGGTGTATTTTCGTATAGTATTTATCGTTGTATTCGCGTTTTCATGGTCTTAGGTGATAAAATGGAAAACATATTACAGAAATAGAGATGATTTTCATTACTTTGATGATGAAAACGACCTTGAAACTGAGCTCAAAGTAGCGGAAATGTTCGATTTTTACCAATGTTCAGGAGTAAATAAATCACGCCACACGTCCAATACACGTCAACTGGGGAGTCTAATATTCTTTCACTAGTGCACTGATATTATTTATACCATTTTTACAATAATGCAGTAGTCTGCATAACAGTAAATTTTGTATTTTTTTGTATGAGTAAAAAATAAAAATAGAAAGCAATAATAATATAAGAGGGGCCTAGAGATGTGACTAATGAACAGAGCATATGTTATTTTAGTGCCACGAATGTCTACCTTGTTTATTCTGGACCCTATTTTGAAATTGGCATCCTTTTTAGTTTGCATGAAATTGGCCAATTTGCCAATTTCTGACCACATATTGGGTAGTCCAAATTAGTAAATGGGAGGTTTCTTGTACTCAGCTGATAGATAAAATGGAGTTCTAAAGAAATAGCTATGAGTTTGGTCAACTGGAACAATGGAATTGGCTGAAAATAGGGCTCAAAGTCGGCGAAATCGCCGATACGCATATGTCGCCGAGACCGCTAACTTCGTGGGAGCATAATTCCATGAGTTTTCGACCAAATTTCGAACTTTTGGTGTCATTACCATCGGGAAAAGATTCTCTATCATTTCATAAGAAAAAATAATTTTTTTTTTTTTTTTTCAAAAATTGAGCGACATAGAATGACAGTTTCAGAGAGGGGCCTGAAACAGTCAAAGGGTTAAATCATATTGCCGGTCGAGCTTCGCTCATGCAACTGTTGTGCAGAAAAGCGGTAAAAGCACCAAACAAACAATGACTCGGTTGAAAAACCATTGAAAACATGAAATGTTGCAAAGGATGCCGAATACACGGAGCCCTCCTGTACATATATATGTATATACACAGAGTTTATGTAATATCACATATATACACATTTATATTTGTAGTTTCTGTGAATAAATTTATCACAGTAGAACAATGTTGTGGTTGTGATTGTTAGTTTGGTTAGATAAGTGATGTTAGAGTCTCTGTTGTAGTACACTTGAGACTCCAACTCACTTAACTGTCCACTTATGTATTTGTGGTGTATACAGTAGGATCCCTGTATCCTTGGGGGATATCTTCCAGGACCTACCGTGGATACCAGAAACCATGGCTAGTATTGAACCCTATATGTCATTTTTTATTTACATACATACCTATGCAAAATAACCACTCTGAAAGAATAGAGAAATTCCAAGCGCTTTCGTGACTACTCACATTATCAAGGAACTATGAAAGTAAAGCATCCAAGGAAGCTATATAAGGGGTCTGGCCAGCACCTCACTATCAGATCCCACAACGGTTAAACACCTGACGCGCGCCGACCCAACTTGGATAGGTCCTTTGCACAACTCACCCCACAAACTATTCTACCCAAGAAAATTTAAAAATTATTTGTCCAGTGTATTATTAAATTCTTCCCAAATTCTATTAATTATAAATGGATCTAATTTATATAAACCAAAGGAAATATTCATATTATTGTCAAAACTGCTTTTTATGAAACAAGATTCAATTATATTCCTGTCGACCATGGACTTGCTTGATACTACTTTCTCAACTTTTGAAATCAATTGGATGGTTAAAATCTCTTACATGAATAAATAGAGCATTGGAATCTTGTCCAGTTCTAATGCTATATTTATGTTGTTTTAATCTTAGTTCGAGATTTTTACCAGTTTGACCGTAATAAACTTTATCGCAAATTTTACAAGGAATCTTATAGACACATCCATCAGCATTTTGGGGGGAATTCTTTATCAAAAGTTTTTTTTACTGTATCAAGATTTTTGAATACAACTTTAATATTAAAAGTCTTAAGAAGAGAAGGCATATCAACCAAGTTTTCATGGTAAGGTTGTTTTGCATATTCTGAAATCACCTGTTTACTGTGATCTTATTGCATACATACCTGTGATAAAGTTTAATTGATAAATTGTGCACAATAAGCCGAGAATTAGCACTTTTCACTGATGGGAAGCACTTCATGACTTCTCTTAGGCTTTGAAGAACTTCCACCATCACTGTTTTTGCACTTTGTGACCATTATTAAGCAAAATGAAGTCATTTTTGGACCAGGGTAAACCGTGAATAATTGAAACCTTGGAAACCGGACCCACGGATACAGTGGTCGTACTGTACTACAGTAGTGGTGTATGCTACAGTAGACTACACTACAGTACAGGGCGTGGTTTAATATTACATTATAATGAAAATGTAGACCATTTTTTCCTATTTGGTACAGTAGTATAATAATAAATTTAATCTTTAATTGGCATAATCATTGGATACAATTTTGGACTTGTAAATAAAAAAATTATATAAAAGTTTGTTTTATATCCTATTTCCAGCAGATTCTAATATTTATATTAGTTGTTGTAGTAGTGTATTGTAAGACTTTAATTGTGTATTTTCTGTGCAAAGTTAACATTTCAAAGAGAGTATCTTGATGCTGATGAAGTCAGTCACTTTCTTAATTAAACAGTTCCCTATCAATTCTCCTGACATGTTTGGGTCAAAGGAGATTCCCAGATATTTCACTGAAGATAGTGAAGTGATGGGTTCCCTGTTACACTGAGCATTAAAAGTATTTACCCTCCTCTTCTTTGGATCAAGTCTGATGTCTCTCATTCCTCAGGTGCTTATGGGTTTAGTGCTTACCAGGTTTTTGTTTGTGCCGAATGTAGGCAGTAAAACGCTTAATGGCAGTGAATCTGCTCTTACACTTCTATCGTTTGTAGGTCGTGAAGTTACATAATACACAACTAAGTTGCATTATGTACATGGAGGATGCTGCACATCATGCTCTTTAAATTCCCGAAGATGACTTGACACATCTGACACTGTTGGCAATGCTATCGCCTCACATACAGTGTCTGTGGTTCATTCCACCCCTCAAGGAAGGTTCCTTGACACTGGTGAGGAGCTCTTGATCTAGGGAATTGGATCTGTGCTCCAGTTCCCTGAATTAAGCCTGAATACAGTGGGCCCCCGGTTAACGATATTTTTTCACTCCAGAAATATGTTCAGGTGCCAGTACTGACCGAATTTGTTCCCATAAGAAATATTGTGAAGTAGATTAGTCCATTTCAGACCCCCAAACATACACGTACAAACACACTTACATAAATACACTTACATAATTGGTCACATTCGGAGGTAATCGTTATGCGGGGGTCCACTGTACCTCCCCCCCCGGCACTATATAATCCTATGGGTTTAGTGCTTCCCCATGATTATAATTATATAATAATGTGGTTAATTCCCTGGCACCAATGGAAACATTGGGCGTGTTTCCTTACATCTGTTGTCCCTATTCACCTAGCAGTAAGTAGGTACCTGGGTGTTAGTCAGCTGGTGTGGATGGCATCCTGGGAAACGAAGATTGAAGGACTACAATGGAAATAAGAGAGACAGTCCCTCAATGATACACTTACACATAGGAGGGTGATGTTTCAGTCCAACTTGGATCATCAATTAGCCACACACACAATAGCAAAGACAGGGAGTCAGTTTATATATGAGAGGGGTCAGGGATGGGAAAGAGAGAGTGGAGGAAGTGTCCTCTATAAATCTGAATGTGAAGTTTGTTATCTGACAAGTTATTTGCTCTAGCCTATCCCGCCCTTGAAAGCAGTTCTTTTCCATACTGGGATAATTACAGTAGCTTTAATTTTTTCACTAGCTTCATTGTGGTTTTCAAAGATGCAGGTTCATGTAGGTTTGCCAGGACGGGTCCTGGCCCAGGTCTTCTCCATGTGGTGACCCAGCAGTGGCTTTCAAAGGAGTGTCAAAGCTTGTACACATGATGTACCATTTACAGCCCCATGGCAGGGCAACTGGCTCTGTGGTGGACAACGCTCGCTTTGGTAGGGAAATGAAGTGGAAGTGTTAGATTAAGTGTTAACTTCAACTGAATTAATCAGATTAACTTCAATTGAATCAATCAGATAGTCATCTATTGCTCCTTTGCTGTCTGGTAGTGGGTACTTGTTTATTCATGTATTCATTGCCTGAGCACTTGTTTCATGGTCCCTGCAAATTGAAAGTGGAGTTGCTTACCTGTCTACCAGTGGAATGGTGTACTGCACCTACTTACCAGTGTAGTGGTGTACTGTACCTACCTACCAGTGTAGTGGTGTACTGTACCTACTTACCAGTGTAGTGGTGTACTGTACCTACTTACCAGTGTAGTGGTGTACTGTACCTACCTACCAGTGTAGTGGTGTACTGTACCTACTTACCAGTGTGGTGGTGTACTGTACCTACCTAGCAGTGTAGTGGTGTACTGTACCTACCTAGCAGAGTAATGGTGTACTGTACCTACCTAGCAGTGTAGTGGTGTACTGTACCTACCTACAAATGGACTGGTGCACTGTACCTACCCACCCCTTCCTTGGATCACACCTGACCACCTCCCATTCCCACATAACTGCATATAACCCAACGAGTTTAGCCATTCCACAATATATATACGTGAGGGGGACTGTATCCCTCCATGTGGACTGCGTGGACTGTCTCCTCCAGCTGTGACTGTACCTTACTTCTTCCATGACTTTATGATACACTTAGCAATGTTGTGATGTACTAGATTTCCTATCTAGCAGTGTATAGTGTGCTGACCTACTATAGTGGATGGTGATGATGATACGTTTTCTTTACGTACATGGCTGGTGCAACTTGTACCTACCCACAACTTCTGATACACTGGACCACTTCCCATTTCCACATATAGTGGAATAGAAGAAACGAGATTAGCACATCGACAAATAAGATAAACCGTGAGGGCTACGAATAGATGTCATTTAATCACTAATGATGGACCATGACTGCTATTCCATCCCCAGCTGCTGAATACCTTACTAGTTTCTGTTCTATATTGATTTGCAAATATTTTTGACTACTCATAATTTTTTCAGTTTTATAAGCCGCCTGAAAACGATGGATTGAATATATATAGTTTTTTCTTTTTCGGTCACTGCTTGTGGGAACGGCTGATTTTTATATAAATAAAATTAATAATAACGATAATTATTATTTAATCTATGCTATTAAGTTGAAAAATATAAATGAATATGAATAGTATTAATGAAGTGATAGATATAGGATAAATGAATAGATTATAACATAAATGAGTAACTATAATGTAATTCACAATATTCGACATAAATTGATGTATTATTATTATTATTATTATTATTATTATTATTATTATTATTATTATTATTATTATTATTATTATTATTATAATAAAAAAGAAGCGCTAAATACAGTGACTAGAGAAGAGAAATTCATAAGAGTAAGGTGTTGAGGGCATCAAACAAGTTAGATAAAGAATAATTGGATATCACACTGGAGGGAGTATGGAAGAAGAGAATGTTTTCAGATATTTGGGAGATGGCGTGTTAGTGGATGGGTTTATGAAGGATGAGGTTAATCATAGAACTGATAAAGGAAAAATGGTGAGTGGTACGTTGAGGTATATGTGGAGACAAAAAATGTTATCTATGGAGGCAAAGAAGGGAATGTACGAGAGCATAGTGGTACCAACACTCTTTTATGGATGTGAAACTGTGAAGCTTGGGTGGTAAATGCTGCAGCGAGGAGACGGTTGGAGGCAGTGGAGATGTCCTGTTTAAGGGCAATGTGTGGTGTAAATATTATGTAGAAAATTCGGAGTGTGGAAATCAGGAGAAGGTGTGGAGTTAATAAAAGTATTAGTCAGAGGGCTGAAGAGGGGTTGTTGAGGAGAATGGATCAAAGTAGAATGACTTGGAGAGTATATTTCTGTAGGGGAAGGAAGGCGGGGTAGGGGTATGCTCGGAAAGGTTGGAGGGAGGGAGTAAAGGAGGTTTTGTGGGAGAGGGGCTTTGACTTCCAGCAAGCGTGTGTGAGCGTGTTAGATAGGAGTGAATGGAGACGAATGATTTTTGGGACCTGACGAGCTGGGTAATATTTAGTGAAGGGATTCAGGTAAACCAGTTACCCGAACTTGAGTCCTGGAAATGCGAAGCACAATGCCTGCACTTTAAAGGAAGGGTTTGGGATACTGGCAGTTTGGAGGGACGTCTAAACTGTTGTGTCTGGGCGCTTCTGCAAAGAATGATGATGAAAGCTTTTTCTTTCTTTTCGGGT